GGGGGAGAATTTTCCAGCTCGGCTCGAACGAAATCCAAAATTTCGGTTGCTCGCGGCGAGAGTGACGCAGCGGAATAATAATTCCGGGACAATGTGTCCCGGCAGATAGCACAAAGCGTAAATCAGCATAAACATCGGTAAAGCCCCGCCGACAATAATTCAGCATAAATGCATAAACATCGGGCGTAATCTTTACAATTCGCTGGGAGCCCTCCACCACCACAATCAGCGGCCGTGCACACGAACACGGAACGCGTTTGGTTACAAACGCGTTTCAGCGCCAACCACTTCCAACGGCGCGATAAACAACGCGTTATATCATATCGGTGAACATAAGCCGCGCGGTAGTCGAGCACGCGGCCGCAAACAAGAAACAATAACAATTAGTCACGATTGTCTGCCGGTGGGTACGCGAGAATGTCGTTAATGTAAACGATTCGTCATAAATGTGATTGTACTCCGCGAACGACGACACTTTCTCGATGTCGGTCTTCCCGAACGGTGTAACCGAATATTTGTTAATAAATCGATCTGATCGATCATTGTTCGGGATTCTTGCACACGTGTGCACGTGTTTTTTTATCAATACGAACAATTGGAAGATTCTGTGCGCGCGCGCGTGTGTGTGTGTGTGTGTGTTGTGTTTTGGTTAAAAAATTTTCGTCAAGGAGGTGATTTCGTTAACGGTATCGGGAGATTGGGATCGAAATATTGCGTATTTCGTTTTTGATTCTTAATTAGATTGTTTTGTTCGTTATCGTCGAGCGGGACGCGAATTTTTAGAACGCAAAATTAGATTTTTACAAGCGTAGTTGAAGAAAACTCGAATAGTGGTTTCCGTTTTCATTTTCGTGCGTGTTAAATAATGTTTTCTGAATAATTTGAATCAAATTTTTTTTATTCTTCTCAACAATCTCCCTATAATTAGCCTTAGATGAAGTCTTAATTAATTCTATAAACAGGTTCGAAACTCGCAAATTACGCGCAATTTATCCTGAAACCATTCTACCTTCGCCCAAACCAAAACTTTCCCCCCCTCACAACTTTTTGCCTCGCCTCGCCTCTCCTTACTACACCAGATTGATTCCGAATCCTGCAACTGTTTGGCCACCCTTGCAATGCATTGGCATTTTCTACACCTTCCTTTCCCTCTCTAGTTTTCCTTTGGTTTCCACGGGTAGGAAATTCACGGGGAGGAAAAGAGGGTCGAGGAGGAGGGAGTCGGCACGGCAGGACAGGGAGCAGCAGTGGCAGCGGCACAGCCAACGAACAGGCGAGGGGGTGAGCCAGGGGGTAGGGGCCGGCAGAGGAGCCGCGCAAATCCTTTTAAATCCACACAATTGCGACAATGGGGCTTTATTTGTTATCTCGGGGGCCACATTGTGAGTCGCCGTGAACGAACGGACAGATTACGTCGGGCCAGTGACGGCTTGGCTCGAAGGGAACCCGTTCCTAGCAGGAGCGTGGCTCGAAGGGGGGACGACTTTTATCGGGCCCTCTCTCCCCTTTATTTTACGACCGTTTCCACCTCCCGGACCAGTTACCAGAGTCGTCGAGCTACGCTGCCATCCGCCAGAAAAGCGGATTCGCCGTTACACGTCTCTTCCCCCGAAATTTCCCTCCCTCCATTTCCTCTCTGTCCCTTCCTCGGGGAGGATACATTTCCTCGGGGGGATGGGACGAATATCGAGGCTTGATATCGCTTTTTGAATTTTCTTTTTTTCACCGTTTTTTATTATTATTATTATTCTCGGGATGGAAGAATGGTTTCTTTTGGGAAAAAGGGAACGCGAGATTAAGAAGATTCGTTTGTATACGTACGAGATAGATAAGATTGTCGTGTATTTTCGTTTCTTAATTTTTTTTTTTCTCCTTCTTTTTGTTTTTCGAATTCATATAGATAGACAGATCCGTTTCGAAGAGCAACAATCGGGAATAATTATAGGAGCAAGGGGAACAATATCGTTCCATTTTTGGAAAAAATATTTGAACAATGTGTGTTCAGACGGGACAATATTTTTCATCTGGCGATCGAAAAAAGCAATACTCGAAAAAAAAAGAAGAGAGAAAAAAAAGGAATCGAATCACCTGGTGACACGGACGGACCTTGCGCCACTGCGAAACTTCGTAATTCCTTTTCGATTCGATCACGGCCACGGAGAGAAAAGAGGATTCTGTGTTACATTCCGTCGATGAAACATTCACCGATCGGGATCGATCAATCCCTCTTTCGTCCACTTTTTTTATATTTTATCTAACTCTTTCCCCTTCCACCCACTTCCCCCTCCTCTCCCTTCCCTCTTTTTTTGAAACCGATCTAGAGCGGTCGGAAAAAAGGAAAAGGTAGAATACTTGACGATTGAAA